GTTAGTTGGAGTTTGTCGCTGAAGCGTGCGCTCTGCATATTTAAACCAAAATACGATTAACATGACACGTGGTAAATATTTGAGGAATGTTTGGGCTTTTGCGTCGTTATATATATTTATTTGTTTTTGTTACTCTTCTTTCTTTTCAACTTTTTTTTAAAGATCCAACGATTGGCTTATTCAAGTAAGAAGACTGGGAAAAGTGTCTATATGTAAAAAATTGGGTTGGACATTATTGTAGCCGCTGTTGTATGGTGTTAGTTTTTGGTGTCTATGCTTAATCCACTACTTTCCTCATGTTTAAAAGGATATGAATTTTATTTTGTTTGTAAGCAGATTAATATTACTATTGTGTAGTTTAAAAAACGGAAATAAATGTGCTTTTGCTTCTTTGTACGTGAAATTTTCCGGATTTGTGACTTATAACATTATTTTCATTGTTTGATTCCTCATCTGAAACATTTGATTTGGTGGGGACTGCTCGAAAAGATGTTGGTTTTGCAGATTGGGAATAGTATTGTGGTTTAAGCCGTTTATATAGTGGAGCAGTCGTGAAAATCTAAAATAAGGCTTTTATTGTGTTTGAATGTCATTATTTATGAAGCCTCAATGTGGTACATTCTCAAGGGAGCGTTAGGGTGAGAGAAAATATGATTTGGTAAACCAGTTTTTATCTATTCGAAAATTTGGTTAGCTTGAAGAGATGGTGGTGAGTGGGGAGAGACCGTCAACATTATTTTTTGATCAGTTTTCAAGCCGCTGACTTAGCTGTTTGAAACGAAATTTCCTGCTTTTCGCATAGAGTGATTCGTAAATAGGGAGATTTTTGGGTTTTTATTCAGAGTTTTTGAACTGATCAAGGGTAGTTAGAAGATTCCTCTTCAGAATGCTACGTTACAAGTTCACTGCTTGGACTTCTTTTTTTAATTTTTTAACGGGAGCATTAAATTGATTATTCATATATACAGTGCCAAATTTTTATTTTTTTGTAGATTTTAAATCTGCGTTTGAACAGTTGACCTTAAAAGAGATATTTGGGGTTGAGCTAGGCCTTGTCGAGCTGCCGAAAAAAAAAAAGACGCAAATCTTTGCACTGCATTGCGAAGTGGCACTTTATGAAAGAAATGGGACGATCAGTGCCAAGTTGCACCCTTTTTCCAGCCGGCGTCTCAAATTTTTTTCGCTTTTTTCATATTTGTGCCAATTGGTATCCGATTTGAAATCGGAAGCTTCTTCCTCAAAAATTGTGGTTGCGGCAAGGTTAGACTGTTTTAAAATGCGGAAGAAAAATTCTCTGCTTATCTTGGTCATATTTAAAAACTTATAACTTTTTACATTCACACTGGATTTCTAAAGTTTTTACTCTCTTTGAAAGCTTTCCTCCTACAGATTCAAAAGAGTGGTAAAATATATTAACAAGCTTTATACAAGATTGAAATGAAAAATTTGAAAGGTTATTTTTGAAAACCAATATTTTTAATTTTTCAAAAAGATGTATCTTTTAAAGGTATAATTTTTGCTCAAAAAGTGCAAATTTTAAGGTGGCATCTTTGCTCTGTCACCAGTTACAGTGCGATTAATGACAATAGGCAGCAAAAAATCTAACTGAAGCAGCATTTTGGGGCTTTTTTGAGCGATAGAGTTCCTGTTTTAACTAAAACGTCATTGTTATTGGGTACAATGATATACATAATTTCCAAAGAGATTTTCCGATTCCACTACTTCAGTAACGGGTAATTGTTTGAAATTTTTCTATTCTTAAATAATTTTACAGTTTTTTTGAAAAATAATTGTTGCTTTGATTGCTTTTTTGATTTGTATTGCTTTGGTTATTGAACTCTTGTGACTCGAATGTTTCACATTCGGTGCTGCTTTTTAATGCTGAGTATTGTTTTGCTACCACTTTCGCAACAGTTGGTTAATTTGAGACTAAGACGCATACTGAGAAGACTAACAGCGACTCTGCCTCCCAGCAATACTTCACCGGCAGGTAACTTACTCTCTTAACAGGTGATTGGTTAGTTCAAATGTTTGTTTCTCCCATAAATCTGTAAAACCTTGTGTTCACAAGTCAGCAAACAAGCGGAAAATCGATTGTATAGCCGCCAACAATGCACAACTAAGAGTGGAGTTTACAAGCTCCACGTTGCATGCAGGTCTCTCAATTTGGAGAGGTACTAATTTCATCACTGTGAAGAATTGAATTATACTCCCGTTCATTTCTAATTTAACTTCCAAAAATTTTCGCGGCAG